GTGATGTTTCCCCTTCATACATTGCAACAAAGCTTGTGTTTTCACTGATTTGGGGGCTTGGGTAAGTTGCGATTCACCTTGTGATAGTTCGGTGATGTTTTCCCCCTGGGTAGATGCTTCAAATCTTGTGTTGTCTCTGATTTGGGTGCTTGGGTAAGCTACAATTCACCTTGTGATAGTTCGGTGAACTTTCCGCTGGGTTAGATGCTCTCAAACTTGTGCCGTCACTAATTTTGATGCATGTCTAAGTTGCGAATTACCTTGGGATGCTTCAGTGAACTTTCCACTGGATTAGGTGCTCTCAAAACTTGTGCTTTCACTAATCTTGATGCATGTGTAAATTGCGAATTACCTTGGGATGCCTCGGCGAACTTTCCTCTAGGCAGATTGCTTTAATCTTGTTATTTGGCTACAACCGTGTGTGTATGTGTAAGTGCTGTAGTCCCCGGTAACTTGTGCAGTCCGCCTTTAGCCCCTGATGTACCCAGTGACATTCAGTGTGTGTGTGTGTGAGTGCCGCAGTCCCCGGTAACCTGTGCAGTCCATCTTTACCCCTTGCTGTACCTAGTGACACTCGGTCCGTGTATGTGTGAGTGCTGCAGTCCCCGGTAGCTTGTGGAGTCCACCTTTACTCCCTGCTGTACCCAGTGACATTAGGTGTGTGTATGTGTGAGTGTTGCAGTCCCGGTGGCTTGTGCAGTCCACCTTTACACCCTGATGTACCCAGTGACGTTCGGTGTGTGTATGTGTGAGTGCTGCAGTTCCCGATAACTTGTGCAGTCCACCTTTACCCCTTGTTGTACAGGTGACATTCGGTGTATGTATGTGTGTGTGTGGGCTGCAGTTCAGTCCCTTCCCCATTTTTGCTGTAACCGGTGACTTCCGAAAGTGATATGGGGCAGCCAGGCACCCGAAGTAGAAAACAGAGACACATGGCTAGGAGTTAGGATACGTCCAACGGGCGTTCTTTCACGTCCATTCGCCATAGCCGGACCACCCAACCCTTCTCCCTCCTCCATCACTCACACCCGTCCACCATAGCCAGCCACCTCCAACCCTTCTTCTTCCTCCATCACCCACACCCGTCCACCATAGCCGACCACCTCCAACCCTTCTTCTTCCTCCATCACCCACACCC